AAAAGCCGGGTCTTATAAGGCCTAACTGCCCAAGCCACTATGATATTCGGATTCAGCATAGTCGATTACCTATTGTCCACTAGAAAAGGGATAAAAAGCGATTTGCCAGTTGGGGACCTTCCCTCGTAAGTGCCATTCAAAACGAGGAGCATGTAAGAATACAGAGTGAATAATGAAGAGTAAATTATATTAAATTGTACATAAAAATAATACAATTATAATAAATTGTATATATAAATTTACGTTTTGCCTAGGCAAATTTTAAATTTGCCTGAATTTGAGTTTTGCCTACAACATATATACGTCTAATCAATTAGAGATCGGTTTAAAACGAATGTGTCAGCTTCAGACAAAAAAAAAGTAAATTGTTATATATAAAATATATGTTATAGAGCTCTGTTCAATAACGCAAAATGTTTTTATACGTAAGAAATTGCATTACTTTCGCTCGTGCAATCATATTTTATATTGCACCGCTTAGATTTCTGCGTGCATTTTTTTGCGTGAAATATAAAAAAAATTTGACTTTGGCGGCATGAGAATTATATTGTGCATAAATTTTCGCTTTTGACTTATATTATAGAATGACAATGTTAAAGATTATACAGAGCCTGTTGTTATCGAATGTGGTATATCACCTCACAGAAAGTTTGAATAATTCAATTTTCCCTTTTAATCATTGCGGCAACTCGGCCGAGGTCTAACGAGGAAAGGTTCCCGAGTGCCATCTTGGATTTTTCTTGAAACAAACTTGATTATGGATAATTTTTGATGCTGATCTCGAATCAGATATCCGGTCGTCCCCAAATGGCTTTAAAAGCGTCATGTTCTTTCTGATTTTTCTTTGATTAACCCTTTGGCGCCGGGGCACGCATATATGCGTGTTGAAACTTTGCTAAATGCTAATTTCTAAATGCTTCTATATAACAATAAAATTTGTTCCAGATACTTTTTGAAAAAAAACATTTTATTTTTTTCAAAAAAACCCCAGCGCCAAAGGATTAATATAGATGAATTAGAATAGTTTTGAACTTGACAAGCTATCACATCTTGTAGAGCAAACAATCTTCTACAAACTGATATACTTTGTTCAATTTTTGCGTGCTCGTCTTCACTCTTTTAGACGCGTTTTTTAGATAGCTTCAAAATCGATTTTTGGGGCTGTTTGTACAACAGCTCTATTTTTATAACGAATCAACGTTCAGAGCTGAGATACTTTTCATTTTGTAGAGAAATGTTTAATCTACTTAATTATCTAATTGCAGTTTTAGATTAGTTTCTAACTTTATTGCCATAGTTCTTTGAAAAAGAGCGAAAAAAGGAGACAGTTAGCTGGACAAGTCGATACCAAGTTACTCCCGTGGGTAAGTTTTGAAGAATAATGGATAAATGTTCACTTATTTATAAAAAAAAGTGCTTTATCCAGCCAAACTAAGAATCATTGACGCATTTTTCGTGCACAAACCTATAAGCCAATGAAAATCTGTCCTTCAATTCTCAAAACTTGCCCAGAGGAGTAACTTGATATGCTCTACAATCTGGCACTATCAGAATTTGTTGAGACAAAAGTTCACTGTGGGTTTCGGAATTCACCGAATTTGAATAGAAGTACTGAAAAGCCATTTGGGGATGACCGGATATCTGATTCGAGATCAGCATCAAAAATTATCCATAATCAAGTTTGTTTCAAGAAAAATCCAAGATGGCACTCGGGAACCTTTGTTCGTAAGATTAATCATCGACAAACTTACATTGAAATTTTTCTAAAAGTGTTTCTGAAACAAAACGTGAAGTATTTGTGATCAGAATGTAAATTTAATCTTTTGCTTATTTTCTTTTCAAGGATATATTGTTGTCAGCTGTGATATTTATAATTAAGTGCAGAGCAAAACAAATGAACCATATTCTTGAAGAAAATTACAAAAATGGATAGTTAAGCTTTTCAGTGAATGGATTTTCATATATTTCTTAACAAAACGATAAAGAAAACAAGAATTAGACAGATGTTTACTCTGTTTTGTCAAATCTGTTTCACATACGAAAATGACTCAAATAAAAACAAAAACATAATTAAATTTATATTAAGGATAAAGTCAGAAAAAAATCTTGAAAAAGCAAAGAATGGATCATGAAAGAAAAGGAAATGACAGAAAAGATCATGGAAAAAGCTTAATTAACTATTTCTTGGAGAGAATATTTCAGAATAATATCTGAAACGAAATTATCTTTCTACCAATCTTTTATATCTTTTCTTTCTTCTGAGATCCATGAGACTAATTTTCCGAGATCTTTTATTTTTATATCCAAACATTAACAACTTGTTTTGGTTTTAAATTCAATATAATACTGTTTTGAAAATGAGACTGTCTCATTTGATTTCTTTTTTATTGTTTTCTTAATTAATTTTCGTCTTTTCGTACGAAAATGATATTCACATCTTAAATTTTGTTTTTCTTTGACAAATAAATCTTGTTTAATTCGACAACCACATTGAAATAATGTACGTAACATTTGAAATAATTCTTTTCGAAATGTTTGACTAAGTAGACAATATAACAGAATATTTGTTGTAGAATTTAAAAAATCTAATATAATAACTAAATCATAATATTTTCTCACTAATAATGGACAATCAAATCCAATAAATAAATTTCTTTTACAATATATAAAACTTAATAAAACATCGATAAACCAACAGTTTATTATGGCTACAATACATTCAATTGTAATTATTGTCAGAATACGTCGTGTCTCATCAATACGTCGACGACTTGGTAATAAACATAGACTACTACGAATTTTGACATTAAGAATACGTAAAACACATACAATATTGGCCACGATTGTGATCAATGATGGTAACATACTTCCAAATACTATAAGTTAAAGTACAAAGACAGAGACATTATAATGCAAGCAAAAGTGCTCCAGTTTAAATATCTAGATATTTTTAGCTATGCTCTACACTTTTATCTAGATGCTCTAGGCAGAGAGCATTGATTTAGTTGGCTGTATTGTTCAATATATCTAAATGCACCAAATTAAGCCCGATGTAAATGCTAATTCATTGGCAATGTTAACTAGTTGCATAGAGAGAAATATTTATCTGTATGCATCGATCAGTAAATAGGCCACCGAGATGCATTGAGCGATGTGTTAATGCATTTTTCGTACTTGAAAACCATTACAAGACTTTATTTCTACACTTGGACTGTTTCCATAAAATGAAGAAGTAAAGTGATGTAAAAGGTAGCTAATAGATATTTTAATTTTTTAATCAATTCATATCTAATGAGCATATAAGAATTGATAACAAAAAATATATAAAGAATTTACCTAAAAGTAACGTATATCGATTAAGACTAATTTTTCGATCATATAAAAATTTATAATTTTTTAAAAATACACTTGAATCAAATTTGATAAAACATTTATGATACTGATAAGCAAGATGTATTTCATGTCGAGTTAAATTTTGACCAATCTGATATTGAATGAATTAATTGAATTAATGGAACAATAGCAAAATTGAGTAAATCAAAATATCGACCTAGAATAATAGAAAAGTAATAATGTAGTTAAAATTTATAAATATTAAGTATAAGAAAAAAACTTGAATAATTATTGAATAAACATTGATATTTTTCAAATTTCTTTAGTCATTTGTCTGATGATGATACTGTGATAGTGTTGAAAACTTCTTTGAATGTAAAATGATTTTACTAAAATTCTGTTTTTTTCAATTATTTTAAAATAAAACATACCCAGTATAGCAGAAAAATGATCCCTCGTACAAGAATGATTCGACATTATTATCAAACTTGATTCAATGCATTATTGAACACATTCATAAGATAGAGTATCATTAAGGATTTTTGATGTTAATAAATGTGTGTAATTAGGTAAATATTGAATAGTATATTAAACCAACTACGAGATAATTGACGATTGTTTTCTTTCGAACAAAATAATGTTGAACCAAAAAATTCGAATAGATAGGCGAGTAAAAATGGTGTAAAAATAAATATATAAGACCAATGTTCTTGTTAACTATTATTGATTGTCGAACGTGTACACATCGTTGAATACTAAGAAATGCCATTAGAATTAATGAAAATTGAATATAGAGTTCAAAGTGTACAAATGGTAGAAAAAGATCGTGAAATTTATATGTTATTCTATTAAAATGAATTACAATTTTATTAGAAGAACATGATTTATGAAAATATTTTGAAAAATAAAATTTTCTATAATCAAATAATTTAATCGGTCGAAGGCCAAGATAAATCGAATCAGCGAACAATGCAATTATAAAGTACGGTGTAATTAAACGTAAGCGAAATTTATGTCGAAGAAATACGGCTATATACAATAAATTGCCAAATGTACTAAGAATAAATAAAACTACTCGAATGAGTGCATAATACATAATGAGATAAATTGTTGAAATTTGTTGTATTTTATACTTGTTATCGTGTCAATTTTTCTAAATTAGAGAGAAACAATAGAACTTAATGAAGATAAACAACTAATAAGTAAAAGAAGGCAAAATCATAATTTACTTCTCCTATTTAAAAAAGTTTTCTTTTAGAAGATTTGAAGAGACACTTTTGTGCCTGGAGAAATGAAAATTAATTATAAATTCATCGAGGCTATTAGAGGTTTTATATAATCTATCAGCATTTGGCAGTATACACTGTAGTGTCCATTTCGAGTTCAAAGTGATGTTCAAATTTGTCACTATGTAATCGAAATTTTTATCTTGCGTTTCGCTACGGAAAAAAGCGGAAATATTATTTTACTCTTCGATGTTTTTTCTTGTTCTGTCTATGGAACCTATATGTTGAATTCATCCGGCACACTTTATTTTTTACAGTGTATGTTGACGACTGTTTTGAGTCTGTTTTTGCATGGAAGTTAGGAATTAGAGATCCACAGAAGTTTCATTTCCTAGAACCCGCCTCGTCCTCGTTGAAAAAAAATTTTCTACTTTTCATTATTTTTCAAAATTGTTTTGTGTAACAATGTTTTGGCTTTATCGATATTTCTAAACTTTCTTTTTCACCAAACATCAGCTTATATTTCAAAACAGTGCTATTAATACACACAAAAATAAATCGATTTCATCTATCATTCATGTTGATTTTTCTACAGAACGTACGAGGATCAGAATGAAGGCATGTCTGACTTTTTATCCTTTTCTGTCGTTTCCAAATTAGATCAGATCACACAGTGTGTTTTTTTATTCCTAAACAGATCACATCCGTTCAGATACATGGCGATTTGCATACGAACTTGAAAGTAAAGTTTTTTGTCTTTGGTTGGTGTCTTTTCTGTTCCTAAATAGATCATGTCCATACAAATACGTGGCGTTTTACACTCGTTTTAGAAATAAAGCTGTGGGCGCTACCCGAAGTATAAAATCAAAACATATGTTTGTAACAAAATCTGTTCACAAGAGTCAGGGCTACATGTGCTAAAAAACTGGACCTTTCGAGATAAACTTTCTCTATACTTTTGCCTTCTGTAGTATTTCACAGCTTTTTAAAGTAGTCATTCCGTGCAAAATCTGATTTCTGAAGGCATAAAAACGGAATTTTGTCGTTTTCAGTCATTTTATGGGCTAGCCATGTGGTTTGAGATGCATTCGTGACGAAGTGCGATCCCTTTGGGATCTTCAGAGAGTGTCCATAAAACTTTTTAGCCTCATATTACATTGGGCGGTTTTCCGTAAATCAGAGAAATTTACATGATTTATGAGCTAAACTGACTGCGAACGCCGACCGAAGGGAGGCGTGCGCATTGTCTTGATTTTAGCAATATTTTTGGTATCTGTGGCGATTTTTGGAGGGTCTTGAGAAAACTTTTTAGATTTACATTAGATTACGAACCTTACACATTAAATCAGAGAAAAATTCACGACGTACTTTTGATAGTCCCTTAGCGAACGCCGACCGAAGGGAGGCATGAGCGTGAGAAAGGGATAGTACGAGAGGTAATAGAGAGAGGTATAGTACGAAATGTTTCCTTCTACGATACCTTCAAGAGGTGTATTATGAAACCAGTTCGACTACGAAACCTTGAAGAGTATGATACAAAACCTTGACGGGTATCATACGAAACTTCTTCGATTACTAAATCATAATGAGGTTTCGCAGATCCGCACCATACCAGACTGGTACGGGAACGTTCCAAAGAACCTCACAAGTTTCATACTATACCTTTTTTTTTGAGAGCAGAGTAAACATCTGTCTAATTCTTGTTTTCTTTATCATTTTGTTAAGAAATATAGGAAAATCCATTCATTGAAAAGTTTAACTATCCATTTTGTGTAATTTTCCCCAAGAATATGGTTCATTTGTTTTGTTCTGCACTTAATTATAAATAGACTATCACAGTTGACAACAATATATCCTTGAAAAGAAAATAAGCAAAGGACTAAATTTACAATCTGATCACAAATACTTCACGTTTTGTTTCAGAAACACTTTTAGAAAAATCTGAATATAAGTTTGTCAATGATTAATCTTACGAAGAAAGGTTCCCTAGTGCCCATGTAAATATTTTTTAGTTGTAGACGCGTCTGCGTGCATCGATTTTGACCATTTCACTATGTTAAAACGCGTCTGTTTAAAGTTTTTAAAAAGTATTTTTAATATTTCTTTTACACTTATTTTAAGTCATGGTTAAGGACTTTATGTACTTTAGCATGTCCATTTAATATCGATATGAGAAGGGCAGGATTCGCTAGAAAGAAGCGCATATCTATGATGATGCTGTCAGCGAGATTCGATCATGTGGCCTAGAACAGAAAGACAAATTACAAAGCAAGTTACTTATACACTCAGCTACTGAGCTGGCAGTTTGCTTTGCAGTTTGTCAATGTGTATTTTACACGTGTAAAGAACAGTGAAATTAGTCATTTAAGGTAGAGCAGACATAGAAGACATCCAGAATCGAATAATGT